AGTCTATTCTTCCACCAAACGACGACATTTTTGCCCCGCAACCGTCCCCGAAACTATCCCAATCCATATTTGATGCCGACCATGAAGTTCACGAGGCCAAACCGACTAGCACGCGACCCCGCAAAGACTCAGAAGCCAAAGCGCGTTCCGTGATCGAGGCGCTCCAAAAGAGGAGGAGCGTATACGAACCAATATTGGATACACCACCCACACCTTCTACGAAGAAGGTTCCGTTTGACACTGCGACTCTACGGCGAATTGTGCCATACGTCAGTTCACTGACGCATAAAGTAAAAGACACGATTAGGGATGCGGAAGGCTTGTACTCAAGTCCGCTCGCAAGCCCGATGCAAGAGCAGCCACAACGCGACAATATTTTTCAACCAGACACGGATCTGGTGGCTCAAATGAAACTCATGACGGTCATGTGAGCTCATGAATATGACCCTGTTATGGAGCAGGATCCATTTGGTGCTGGCCACACCTCTCAGGGCACAAAAAAGTTTTGACGAAGGAACAAAAGTTTCCTCTGGACTATTTTCATTTGGATCAGAGCGTTCGAGCGACGATGGAGCCGCACTGGCTTCATCAACATTTCCCTATACTAATTTCGATACGGTCGACTATCAAGTACAGGCCCAGGACTGGACTTTGAAGCGACACGGTATTTGCAATGTTAACTTGCATAATTGCAGCATATCCCCGGCCAGGATGCAGGCGGAGCACGACGAGGCATTTGTCACCAAGAGCAACCATAGAGTATGCTCAATTTTTGTTTAATCGAGAATCATGGCGCACCAAGGACCTACAGTGTCCTTTTGGAATCATGGCGCACATCATAGTCTCTGGGTGTGGAAAAGGTCTGCCGTGCAGTTCACGGCCCGTTTTCTCACCGGTCGGCATCGTGTACAAAAGCGGGTTAGGGGATTTTTTTCCTTTGTTTCCTTTTTCTCATGTTCTTGATGCTCTTGTATCTTGAACCTCATTGGGCGTTTGTCAAAAAAATCATAGCATTGATACACGACGGCCTCGACCCAGTCTCTTGAGACGCGAATACATACACAGCATTGTAACGCTAGCTTATCAAACGGTACTCCTGTAATTATGATGTAATGTCTGCAATCAACCTGAGTCAGAGAAATGTCGCGGCCCGAGGCCATGAGTGTTGTCCCTAGCAACCGCGTAAAAGCCCAGATGCACAAATAGCCGTGGTGGATCCGGTACTTGTTTTCTGCTACAAGACGGCCTGTATCCGGGACGGCGACTAGCCCGCATGGCTCGCACGATGTGAGAATGTGCGGTCCAAGTAGCATTTCTAGACAATGTCAACCATAGCTGCCGAGCCGTTGTTGGGCCCGACTGATGCACATGCGACAATCGAGCCACGCGCTACTGCTCCGATTCTCCCTTCACACATGTCAGATCGAGAGGCGAGGTACGCAGGTACCGGCTGCAATGCGGCGCGGTTACATAAGTAATCACTACCACTGTGATCGTCTTTGCATGCCGCTCGCTCTCGGACCCGCCCGAGCGGGTGAGAAGACCGTGAGGATGCGGAGGATGAAGCCGCCTTGCTGCACGCCCCGATGAGCATACAACCAAGCGAGACGGGCTCCCTCCGTGCACACGCCTTAATTGGCCTCGCGCGTTTCACGCATTCTCAATTCGACAATAATCCAAGTCGGGCTATAGTGACAATTCAGTCAACGACAAGACAGCCCCCGACGCCGCGTCTCGGTCCCATGGCCGGCGTTGGCGGCAAGTCCGGCACTGCCATGCACTAATCCTCTGCACAGTCGCTCTGGGCTGCATATTCCGGTTTTCCAACATGTAAGTAAGACGGTATTGCTTGCAACAAAATACTCCTCGGGACTATATTCCGCCCCCATTAACTCGTCCGTCCTATCCACAAATGCAAATGCGCAATACGTATTCGCCTACAGTAGCTTTGCATAGAGTTGCGGAGCATCCTCGACGTTCTCCTTCCAAGTACTTGCCTGGGCCACTTAATAATTACTCGTTATAACGACAGGCTACCTGGCCGTTACGATACGCGGTTCGCACCACAGAGTGGGGTAACATTAGGGCCAATGGCTCCCATATTATTGCCGATTGCGCAAGTGTGGTGTGGTTGTTTGAGGATGCGGCCGTAGCCCAGCATCGGATGGATGAAGGCGCGGCATCCTTTGATTTGGGAAGGTCAATGACGTGGATCGCGTCTTGGAAGCGGCTACTAGACCAAGAGGTGGACGGGAAATACGCGACACCTCAGGTATTATCGTGACCCCAACTCACCACAAAAAAAGCCATTGACTAAAACGCGGCCACCGGTGAGCTACTTCGAGTACTTAGTCACATACGCCAAAGATCCTTATTCAGAAACCCAATCTCCATCTTGCGTGTTTTTGGCTTAGCCGCCGAATCCTTGCTGACGCCCAGGGCTTCTCTTGTTCGAGCCTATCGTTGAGCTTAATCCATCTACGAGCAATTCTCACGTCATCCGACTCGTCCCATAATGGCGCCGAAGCAATTGGTAACAGTCGGCCTGAGCGCATTCTCCATTCTAGGAGCGGTCCAAGCGCAAGGTACAGCTTGCGAAAAGCCAATTGCCCCACAGAACGCGGCTCCTTCGGTCGCCCCGGGATTTCGCGTCGAGGTTGTAGCAAATGGTCTGAGAGACCCTCGCAGCATTCTGTTTGATCGTCAAGGTGGACTGCTGGTGGTTGAGCAGGGCTATGGAGTTAGCAGACTATCCCTGACGGGCGATGGGGCTTGTGTTCGCGTTGAGGGTCCAGTGCAAAAGGTTATTGAAAATGACTCTGTAAGTTTGGCCGTCGTCCGTTGCCATGACCATCGGAGTTTGACTAACAACGTCAGTTGAATCATGGCATTGCTTTCTCCGAAGATGGCAATACTCTGTACGCGTCTTCCCATAGCAATGTCTTCGCCTGGGACTACGATGCTTCTCAAGGCAAGACCACGTCTGATTCAAGAGATGTTGTTCAAGGAATGGGAGACAGGGAGGGACATACTACGCGTACACTGCTCATGTCCCAGAAGGTCCCTGGTATGTTGCTCGTCTCCCGCGGTAGTGTGGGCAACATCGATCTCCAGACATTGGACGTGACTACTGGAGTATCCACGATCAAGGCCTACAATGTGAACAACATGACCTCTTCAGCCTATGACCACGCCTCAACCGGTAGACTTCTCGGCTGGGGTCTCAGGAACTCAGTCGGTATAGCTGAGGATCCCGTAACAGGCGGTATCTACTCTGTAGAAAACAGCGTCGACAACATCATGCGAAGTGGCCAGCTCATCAATGAAAACAATCCCGGCGAGGAAATGAATTTCCATGGCTTCCTCAATAAAACAGCAAGCGACGTTCAAGATGTAAATCACGGATACCCTTCCTGCTTCACAGCCTGGAATGTCTCTGAGATCCCCGATTTCAATGGTGAAGTTGGCCAACAATTCGCCATCGGAGACCAAAACGCAACCGTCAATGACACTTTTTGCCAAAACGACCGTATTGCCCCCCGTCTTGCCTTCCAAGCTCACAATGCCCCCCTCGATATCAAGTTCAATCCCAACGGCACTGCAGCATGGGTAACTATGCACGGATCGTGGTACGTAATCCCCCCCCCTCTCCCCCCAACAAATCCACTACTGGTACTAACATTCCTTTCAACAGGAACCGTGAAGACCCCGCTGGCTACAAACTCACCCTCATCCCTTTCAACGGTGCTGGCTCGCCTGTCGCCCCATCCAACAGCACCACTGCAGCCATCGATGTTGTATCTAACCCAGATCTATCTGCTTGTCCTCGCTCATGCTTCCGCCCTGTTGGTCTTGCGTGGGATGCTAAGGGTAGATTGTACATGAGTTCTGATTCTACAGGTGAGATCTTCGTTGTTACAAAGGAGGATGGGAGTGGGGTTGCGGATGTAAGTGATGTAGCTGGCAGTGCGACTGCGACGGCGTCGGCGAGTTCGGGACAGAGCCCTGTGCCGAATGTTGCAAGTGTGGTTCTGGGCAGATGGAGTGGTATGTATTGGGTTGCTGTGGCAGTTATTATGAGTGTTTTAGTTTGAGGATGGTTATAGCAGCTCTTTGTGGGTGCGCATCAGTTCGGTGGCATGATTATGAGGGAATTGGTATATAACGTTTCTTCCCTAAGTATATATTGAATTATATCCGTCGATGCTTTGAAATGTGTTGATGCAACTCGGAAGTGTGAGATTGTACTATGGACCACTGCCACTACGATTTACCGAGTCATGCTCTGTGTGACATACCAAAAGCGGCAGTCGTACATAAGATGCATGGGCGTGTAGCTTTTTGAGATGACAGGTCAATAAGCAATATCGGGGGTGTGCCTTCCTGGAAAGCCATGTGCAGTTGCGATCATCATCACACGTAAAATGCTCTTCTCATCTCACTCCATACACGAATGCCAGCTATGGCTTCGAACACTGCATTCAGGTCTTGCTGCTCTGGAATCAATACGGAGATACCTTTTATTTCACACTTCTGTCGCTGACAAACGTGTTCGTTCAGTCGTGCGTCTATTTGCAGCTCTTGCTCACCGAAGCTCAACGCCACTTCACTGAAGACCAACGATGCATACCTATGCCGACCGTGGCTACCAATTTCTCTCTTGATATATACGCAATGCCTATAGATCAAGTAGACTGGGAAAGTCAGTCAATGTGTTGAATCACACACTGAGTTTAACATATCAGTGGTATTTGGCTTGGACATACCACTTGCACTATCGCCTGCTGTCAGTGCGGCTCTGCTGCCTTCACCTCTGTTGTGAAGTGAGAACCGGCCCTCGTTAACGGTTAGCTCGAGTGCTTTCTGTCTCTCACATCGAACCCAAACAATAAGAGGCTTTCTTCTCAGCCAGTCTTGAGAACTCTCTCGATCTTCAAGACATTCGAATCGATCAACAACTGATCTTTCTGCTACCTCTGGTACACATGTGTGAAGTCGACATGTCGCGACCTCAGGGTCCGTTCAGTAATACTGCATTCAACTCTCTTCCCATCGAGGTATATGATTTTGCTACCCACTTGTTACCTATATGTATGCTGACTTTTCCAATAGCTCAACAAGGCCATCGTCCACTACCTTGACAACGACAAGGACATCGCGACATACCGGTTGATATGCCGTTCTACAAATGATGCCATCGACGCCGATCGTCAGTCGTTCTGGCGTGCAAAGTTCCGTGAGAAGTATGACTTCTTGGAGGGCACACCCAACAACCAGCTGCGGCGCATGTATCAGCGCCGGTCCAAGCTGCTGCGATGCGGCACCAAGTACGGCTTCTTTCGTGGCCATGGTAAAACTGAGGCCCGGGTTGTGAAGATGTTGAAAGATTTGATCATTGGTATGTAGATCCCGGCACAAGTCAGCATATCTAACGAGGAATACAGAATCCTTTCAGGGTGCCACCGAAACTGATGAGCATGGGCGTTTCCGTTGCAGGAATCACGCTCACCTCATTCAATTCATTCTCGAGTCCCGTCTGCTAAATAATGACCGACGACCTCCCATAGTCCGCCGTGGCGAACCTGCACACGTTGATGAGACACTGGCAGCTGTTAAGCTGATATGTTCACAGTTCATTTTCAATCTTCCCGGCATAGAACATAACATATTTGCATTCGACGAGTCACAGTTTGCCGTTTATCAATCCACCACCGAAGCCCCCATCTTCCTGGACAACTATAAAAAGGTGAACTTGGAATGGGTTCTCCACAGCATGAATTTCTTCCGCCACCACATGATGAACGAAGAAGCCCAAACTCTGTTCTACAAAATCGATGAGCTATACGCAACCCTTAAACCCTCGCCCTGGAGAGAGCCTCTCCGTCAGGGCGCATATACACTCAGCAGATACTGGAAAGGCACCTATGCCTTCCTCGACCACTCCGAAGTCCAGCGCCTCCGCAAGCAAGGCCCAGGTCACGAAATATACATTGACAAGAACGTTGACGAAGGCAAGATTCAAGTAAGCCGCAGCATCAGAGTATAAACATGAAATCCGCACTAACAACACTCCCCAACCCAACAGTCCCTCGAACTCGTCTTCGCACAACCAGCGCACCTCTCTAATCGCCGCCCCCTAACCTGGCCCGCCCTCTTTGAATCCCGCCTACACTCCTTGCTCCCTTCCACCAGCGCCCAACCCCTCAAAACACAAGCCCGCCACTGCCCCAAACAATCCCAAAACATCCAATTCGAAGGCACAGGCCAAGACCTTGACGACGAATACCGCGCTCTCGGCTGGCTTAATGCTCTTCCGCCTCAAGGCGGCATCCCAGGCTGGCAGCGTATAACCTTCATGAAGCATTTCAGCGATGACTACCAGGATCCTGACCAGGATAATCTTTGGGCGTATGAGGGGGTTGTGATGCCCGGTGGGAGAATGATTTTGGGGAGGTGGTGGTTTGCGTCTGAGTCGGTGGCCACGCAGGTAAGTCTCACCTTTCTTCTCCTCTTCCTTTCTTGGGAGGATGAGGGTGTATGTATACTGACGTATGTTATGTAGTTGGACTACAATGGGCCGTTTATTCTTTGGGCGGTGGATGAGCCAGAGATGGATGGGGAGGAGGAGGAGGAGGAGTAGAAGTGCGGATTTTGTCCCATGGCACTTGAATGTATGGGGGGGGGGGCATTTTGTCGGGCGGGAATGTCATCGCTCATAGAAGGTCAAAGGTTAGGTGGCATTGCAGATATCTTCTCTCCAACCCATGTATGGGTGGCATGATTGTTCGGTGGTTCATTTTCAGCTCTTAGCTATAAATGATATCAGTGTCGGGCTGCAATTCCACTGAGACATGTCGACTTTCTCACATTCATAGAGTTTCCCTTTCTCCCTTACGTGAATAAGGTAGCATGCGTTATCTTAGACTTTTCTCTTTCCTCTAGTTTGAACTTTTTTCTTTTTTTCTTTCAAACAGAGAGAACAAATTTAAAGTAGGTGACCTCCAAAAAAACAAAATCTCATCATTTGATGTCTACATATATAATCGTCATAGAGTCGTTATTCATAATCGTGCCCGCATTCCAGCAATTCCCAATCCAACCAATGCTCCTCCTCATTAATCCTACCGAAAGGAAAAACCTCATCGTTTCCGCATGGTCTGTATACATGTGTTCAAGGAGAGTCTTGTAAAAAGAGAAGAGAAAGAGGAGCCGGCAACAATATACAAAGAGAAAAGGGGTCATTTGTAATATTCCCATTTCTTTTTGCATTTCCTCCCCCAAAAAAATGGAAAACAAAGAAAAAAGGATATCGAACAGTCGTCTCTAACCTCCAACTTCCCAACGCAATGAACAAACAATAGCAAAAAAGAGTTGAAAGGCCGGGAATGGAACAACAAGGGAGAAGGTCTAGTACCTAGCACCCATGGGTGGCGGCGGCACAGCAGCACCGTATGGATTGGAATCAGCATAGGATGTAGCAGGGTAGGGCTGGTTGGCAGCTACAGGATATGCGTACGGATTAGCGCCTGGACCATTCATGTTGCCGAGTGCATTGAGGCGGGCCTCCTTCTCTCGTCGTTCTCTCATCTTTCTCCTCTTGCGACGACGGGCTTCGAGCTCCTTGACGCTGTGACGCTGCTCGTTCATCTCTTTCCATTCAGAGTATGCTGACTTGATACCAAGCGCAGCAATACCCACGGCAGCGGCGTCTTGGAGCATATTTTTGGATTTTCGTTTACGTGCTTCTTCTGGTGACATTTCTCCTTCGCTGACGAGCTTGCGACGGTTTTCCGAGGCGACCATTGACGAGTATACTCCATGGGCGGCGTGGATCGTGGCTACCGTAGCCAAACCCGCAGTGAGAAGCTCCTTACCTCGAAGTTTCTTGCGCTTTTCCTCCATATCGGTGGACGACTCGGAATCACTACTAGGATTCCATCGCCCCCGTTCTCCTCCTCCGCTTTGTGCTGCTAGAGCACCTGCGCCGGCCGCAGCGGGAGCAGCTAGTCTGCGATCTGAATTAGTCCTGGAAGGGGCTTCGGAATACTGGTCGTCCATACCGCGGCCTCGGCTGTACGAGCGGCGGTTGCCCCTACGCGATGGTACGTAGCTGTCGGAGCTGGAAGAGCGAGAACGAGATCGCTCGCGTCGAGAACGAGACTTGGAGCGCACACGGTCGTAGAGAGCCTTTCCTGCAGCGAGTACAGCACCAGTGCCAGCAACCTTGGCGAGACCATTACGATTGCCGTCATCGCTTGAGTGAGAGCGGGAACGTCCACGGGAACGAGAGCGTCCAAAGATGGACCTAGACCTGGACCTAGCACGAGAGCGGGATCGAGAAGGAGACCTGGAGCCATCGCGGCCGCGAGCACGAGAGCGCGAGCGTGAGCCGTTGGCTAGGCGTGAAGCAACAAGACCGCCCAAGGCGGATTCAGCAACGTGCCTCTTCTCGTGCTTTCCGTCTCTGTCGATGAGACCGTCGATACCAGCTGCACCAATAGCGGCAGTGGCAATACGTTGGCCTTTGGCACCAGTCCAGGGGCCTGGTTCTTTGCGGCTACGGAAGGCCTCGACAGCACCAGCGACAAGAGCAGCTTTAGCAGCCTGCTCCCATTTTTCCTTGGCACCTCCTCGGCTACGGCTACGTGAACGGGAGCCATAACGGCTTCGGCGGTCATCGTAATATCCATGCCTGTCGCTGTCATATCCACGGTCGTCCCGACGATAGCGGGAACGATCGCGGTCACGAGAGCGAGAGCGGGAGCGGGAGCGTTCGCGGCCAGTGACGGCGCCGATGATTCCTCCTAGGCCTGCCGACTCGCCGAAGCTCTTTACCTGGTCGACAATGGACTTGCGGCGCGAGGGCTTTGGGCGCTCAGAGTACTCGGAATAGTCATCGTAGTCGCGGTCACGGCCACCACGATCGCGGCGACGAGGACGGTCATAGTAGTCGTCGTCGTAGCCACGATTCATGGAACGAGTGCGACGAGGTGGCGCATACTCTTCACGGTACTTGGTCTGTCTGAATTCGGTGCCAGGGGGGAAGTCGCGGGGGATCTCTTCGATGCTGTCCTCTCGGGCTGCAGGGCGGTAGACGAGATCACGCACTGCGCCTCCACGGCCGCCGCGCTCAATATAAGTCGTCTCGGTCACGTACTCGGGCTCCCGGTTTCGGTGCCGAGGTGGTGCATAGCTGTACTCGGACATGGTGCTACTCTGTACCCGCGATGGGCGGATGCTCTTTGCGTATGCGTCTGTTGTTCTCTCTTTCTCAAAGGTCCAAAATGTAGTATGGGTGGGGTCGGCTGCGCAAGGCTTGTTAGTTGGGGGGGGGGGGCACGAGCGGGAGCAAGAAGGTCGGCGCAGGCAGCGTACCAAGGAGCGTGGTGCTCAGAGCTTTCTCAGTTTGCCTTTGGGGCAAATCTTTGTTGGGCAGGCGGTCGCAACGAAGAATGAAGAGTGCCTGGAAAGTGACGTGACAAGGTGGGTGGGGTAGGGTAGGGGAAGGTGTCGAGGGTCGCAGGGCAGCGGCAGGCAGATGTATTTAACAGGCCGAGTAATGATGACAGTTGGGATGGATGGCCTGGGGCCCAAGGATGTTAGTATCGAAGTCGGACCAGGCGGAGTGGCGTAGAGATTACCGTGTGTGTGATGCTGGTGCGAAGGTGGGCAGTGTCTTTAGTGCCCAGGGCCTGCTTATGACGTAACGGCAGGCTGCCTGTTGGGCTTGCCGCTTGTGCTTTTGCAGCCACGCCCTCGCCCTCGCCCACCTGCTGACTGACCATTGAGCGCATGCCTTCTTTTGCTCGCTGCCAATGCGAACATGCACATGGTGCCCGCCATAGCCCCCCCCCCTCTCGGGCCCTATCCGCTGCCTTGACCGGTGTTGCTTCTCACCACCCCTCCTTTCGCTCACCAGCGCCTTGACGCATTCCGCCCTACTGTGGTGTCGCGCGGCTGTGCTGTGCTGTGCTGTGCTCTTCACCCTTCAGGTCGCAAGGCTCCCTAGCCACAGTTCCAAGTTTTGGCGCTGCATGCCTCCGCCTCCTACTCACCCGGCCTGGTTTGATGACGAAGCCCGGAGCCATCAGGTGTAGGGGTGCAATGGACACAGCACCACGTGAGTCGCTTCCTATTGGCCCATGTCGGTGGTAGCGTGCGAACCTCAGCGAACATGCGAGGATACACCTGTCAGCCCGTGGCCTGACATGTCGGCATGGCCCAGAACCCTATAACCCATGAACCATGGCCGCCAGACGCTGCCTGATGAAATCAAAAAACAACTCAGTGATGCCCGAAGGCGGCCTCTTGTTTCTTGTTTTGCGTGGCAACTCGTGGGGTCGTGTCGTTGCTTCTTCGCCCAGGAACCAGTCGGTAGGCACGGCATCTTGGTTAGTGCCCACGCGTAGTAGCCGTTTAGGCCCTGTCCACCACTCAGGAACAGACCCTTTGGGCTCCATGTAGGAAAAGCAGCCAGTCGGTCACCTTTGGTCGGCCGGGCCAAGAGACAGCCTCACAATTGCACTCATTTCTCTGTTCCGTTGCCGTCCACTCTATGACACCATAGCGCATAGACATTCCAGCTCTGTTCCATGCTATCCGCTCGCTTCGCTAAATTGCACATCATTTCACCGTGATAGCTCCGTCTGCAGCACTCTCTTTACCTCTTACGCTTTCCGCTGCCATAATCCCTCCCCTCCCCTCCCCGTCCCCGTCCTTGCCCGCACACGCTCCCTCCTCCCCTAGACTAAGCATCGCCGTCATGTCTTCCATCTGCCGCTCCAAGTCTTTTGAAAATTCTTCTAGTGCACGACTGATGCTAAAGTACGGCTTGCTGCTCTCGGCCACCAATCTCCACTTCTCGTGTGTAGCTTCCGTCTAGACAATTGCTCGTATCATAATCACTATGTCTTGTGCGAGGTGGCAGTGATGAGAATGATGCTGATGGTGTGTGTGTGGTCAGTCAGTCACTTTTGAGGAAGGAGCAACTACGCTGCCACCAAGAAAAACGCTGCGCCCTGTGCTGAGGCACCATGTTGGCCTTTTCTCTCCGAAGACGTCTATCGCTGACTTGAGACGCATATAAGCCCAGCTGATAATTGTGCTGTCGGATCCATGTCCTGATCATTGGTCACTTGTGCAGTACAAATCATAATAGACAATCCAGTAGTAAGAGCCCGAGTTTGTATCCCAGTATTCATGATCCTCTGTTCCGGCCCGATGCATATAGTACAAGCATACATACATAGCACTCAATCAGCTCAGGCCTTGATGGCGTAGTGCTTGCGGTTGTCGCTTTCCACCGTCTTGCCAGTCCTCTCCTTCTCCCATAGTTTTATTCTTGACATACGCTTCAGCATCCTCTCTTCACGCTCCCGCTCCATTTGAGCCTCTGAATCCTGTGCATCCACCTCCTCTGATAATTGTGATCTCTCACCGTGACGACCCAAATCCTTGTATAGCAACTTCTTTGCCTGCTCCCGCAGTTTCCGGGCCGCCTCGCGCTTGTCATTGCTGTCCATAGCCCCATTTGTCCTTGATGCCTCTTCAATTTCATCCTGCTTCTCTCGTTGTCCCCATGGCTCCAGGTCGGGAATCTCGGGCCACACAAAAGGCTGCTCCATCTCCACAGTCATGTACTTTTGAGATTCTGGGCGGAACCAGTGCCGTGGCTGTTCGCGCGTGTCCCGTACGGGCATTTGCTTTACGTACGAGCGGATGTTGAAGCATTTGACGTTGTACGCATGGTAGAGGTAGTCGCGGAGATCATATTTTGAAAAGTCGAGCGGGACGAGGAAGCGAGCGTGGTAGGGCGATAGCTTGGGTGTTCGTACAAGCGCAACTGTGAATTTGGGGCTGAAGATCATTTAGTTCAATTGTCTCATACGTATGCATTATGTGCGGCATACAGGTAGATCTTCTTGCTGCCAAAGGCGATCAGCTTCTTCGAGATGGGTACGGCGTCCATTGCGACCGACTGCGACTAGACGTGTGGATTCTGGAGAGAATTTGCGAGATATCAGATTTGGATATTGCGACTATTCAGTGGTGCATTGGCTTTGGCACAGTGCAATGCGCGTTGTGATGCCTCGCCTGGTTGCCCTACAGTGGGCTTTGCATGAGACTCAGAAATTGGATCGGAGGCCGACCGCACATCTCCGCGTCCGTGCGCATGCACTCCGCCTCCAACCTCTACCGTTGTCACCCACCCACCCGTCTGTTGCATTGTGGCGAAGTCTTGTTGTTTTCATCCAGAGTCATGTGCACGCATAGTCATGAAAGGCTGGATGAGTTCAGCACTTGGAACGAAATATGACGCTGCCGGGTGTTGCACGATTCATATATCTGTATCTACGGACTTGTTGGATACGAGGCTTGGCAATAGGTCAAGGTATTGGCAAATGCAAAGAGACATCAGACAGTCTGTTTCCTGAATATCATTGTAATACAGTCTTACATAGGGATATCATATTATTACTTCAAAAGCAAAAAACCTCGGTGCGAAAGAAAGGACTCAACTACAGGCCAACTTTACCAACACCTTTCCTGAGCGCAACGTCTATCAGCGTCTCCTGCATTCCCCGGAGTAGGCTCTCGGCAATATCCTTATCCCAGTAATTCTGGTTGTAGCATACGCTAAGCACAAGTTGACCTTGCCATATCCAGGTGTGCACCATCATTCGTAGGGTTAACGTCTCGGCACCGAGCCAAAAGTCCTCTACCTGAACAAGGCCGTCACCAATGTTGCTGGATAGCTTGTCGTCAATGGCTCCCAAGAAAGCAAACCTCGGCTGCAACTGCCCGTCCGTCTCTCCGTTGCTTCCGAGATTTGAGTCGGTCAACCTCTGTTCAAGAAGCTTGTGGAAGTAAGGAGATGAGCCCAAGTACGGTGCGTAGCCAGTGGCATAGACTGGTGCGAGTTGAGCGTAATACGAGTCGAAGTCGGTCCACGGTGAGACAACCACCTCGGTTGTAAGCACGCTCGTGTAGCTTGTTGGCGAGTTCTCTGGAGCCTCACCCTCGGGAATAAGGACACGGAGATTGTAGTGGAATGAAGCCATGAAGCTCCGCGCTTCTTCAGTTGGTGCCAGTTTTACTACCGCGTTCACCAGAGCCGCATGCAGTGCCACATCCAAGGCGAGCGCTGCATTGTCACAGCAATCCATGACAAGTTTTGTGTCGCTCTTGGAGAGTTTGACAAAGTGTCTTTGTGTGTATCCCGGCCTCTGAGCTTTGACCTTTGGTTTCAGCTCCAGGGCTGGCTTGTGTGGCTCAAGAGCAGCGAGCCGGCTCTCTGCCTGAGCTTCAATGGCGGGTGTTATCTCGTGACTGATGTGAAGAGTGTCCTCCATGCTGGGAGTCAAGTTCTTGGCACATCCGCCAAACACCAAGTCTGGATTCATGTTGGCGAGTGATTCAACGAGATGATTGAGGCAGAAGATTGCCCCCCGGGCGTCGACGCGGTAGTGTGGTGACCAGATCATGACTTCGGATGTATCGGGAAGGAAGTAGCACATCATCTGTTCGTTCCTTGGGATACGCCCCAACAGTTCATCCACTGTTTTACCCTCGGCAACGGAGAAAGTGGCCGACACCCACAAGGTGATGGACTCGGCGTCGCCGACACGGTAGACATAGTTGCCGTTGTATGGGAAAGCGGCAATTTCGGGATGGTTGTAGCGGACCTGTTTCCATGCGGTTTTAAGATAGGCAGCGGGATCCTTGATATCGGGGTGGAATTTGAGTTTAGCAACAGCGTTTTTGGCCCAGTTATCGCGGCCAATAGCATTAGGAACATTGCGGGTAAGTATGTTCATCTTCTCGAGGTAACTTTGGGGGCGCTCCCAGCGCCCTGGGCGGGTCTCCTTCCATGCACAGCCCGGCATGTTTATAGAGTAGTAGGGATGAATGATGATGAATGATGGAAGAATGAATTTGCAGGTGAAGGCTAACGGTCGAGGCAGAGGATATGTGACTGAGTATGGGTTCAGTACAGAGAGATTGTCTAGACTAAATACTCTGGCCGTCAGTGAGCCTCGAGTTAGTGCGGTAAGGTGGCCGGGGAGAACAACCCCTAGCCTTGGAGAAAGGCATGCTGGGCAATTCTTTACTGCAGCCACCAATTACCCTCGCTTGAAACACAAACCGTTCGTGGAGCTGTTGCCCTAAGCCCTTGTTCCGCCGTATGTACATGGGCATGCGAGTTTGGCGTAACTTGAAAGGGATCGGGGGTTCGGGCGGTGCGGCGCGTGCTGAAGTTAAGGGTCTACGCGGAAGTCGCTAGAGGACTAGAACCACCTGGACTATGGCCCACCACCGTCATCGCTTCTCCCCCTTCCAGCCTTAGTGTCTAACGGGCGAGGCCGCGCAAAGTATCGCGCTGAGTATGACGCGCAATACGGTCCGTCTACAAAGAGAGGCTAATGCAAGCAGAGGTGAGCATCGATCGGTGTTTGAATAACGTGTGTTCCTACTAGCAAATCCTACACCTTGTCCACATCCCGACGCTTTGAAACATTCACAACGTCTGGTTGACCGCTAGCGTCGTCGGCTTGTGTACTCATACTCTCGTATACTCTCGTAAGCACAAACGAAGCATCGTCAACCAGTGCTTTGCAAGTCGAGAAAAAAAGCACTTTGAAAAAGAACTTTTGGATTCTGCTGCACTGTGATAGGGGCTGGCCAGGACAGTCACCTTGCATGTGAAGCTGAGGACGAAAAGTACGCTAGACAAAACATGCCTGTGTATATTACAGAGAACATGATTCATTAGCCTAGTCTTTATCCTTGCAGAATAGAAACCCGAGCCCCCACCTTGACAGGACAAGAAAGCAGAATTCCCTGACGGCAATAACATCCAGCATATGAAACCAATCGGGGGTTTTGTCCCAGTATCTAACGGCGGAAGCGCTAGCTCCCGCATCCGCCGATCGGGGCGATGGAGCATGTTCAAAGCGCATCACACAATGCGAATGGCCTGCAGTATGGCTATTCCAGAGTTTATTCTTTTTTGCGTTCTCCGAGTTGCTCTGGCGCAAGCCGCAGTTTGTCTAGACTCAGCCTTCGCCTGCGAGTGCCAGAAGAGTCTCGTCTGTCGAGCATATTGCCTTTTCTCGGACATGAGCGTCAGCAGCGAATGCTTTTGTTCCCCGATGTCTTATAGTGATTTCCGTTTTAGGAGGCCGGCGAATCAGCGGTCTTCCACCTCGCCTCGAGGTCTAAGTAAGTAAGCGTATAGTGGACGCGGGCAGGGATGCATGTTTGATCTTCTTGACACAACGCTGACTAATCGCACTAGTTCATTCAAGGTAAGTAATATGTGCATGCCATGCTGGGTTTCTGGGAATCCCCACTGTCCTTCTTACATCTAAAACAAGCTACGTCTTCTGACGGCAACAACACCCGATGGACAGGCATGTCGAACAAGCTTCCAGCCTGTCAAAAATGCAAGCTGCGCAAGGTCAAGTGTGGTCGACAAGCGCCAAAATGTACGAGTTGCACAAAGGGAAATGTGGCTTGCATCATCGTCGATCCGGCGACAGGTGAGCAATATGCACGAGATTATATCAGACAGCTCGAGGTTCAAGAAGCCGACTTAAAGGCAACATTACACGGAATAGCTGCCGGCAGGCCTGAAACGAGCCATTGCACTATCGAAGCACCCCAGGCGACGCCAGCCGGGCTTCCGACGGGAGCAAGCCATACGTCACACGGCGGGTTTGTTGGCGATGGCAGCGGCCTCGGATTCTTGCGTAGCATACTATCTGAAGCGAAATGGCAACGCCATCGAACGCACATACTCAACCAACTAGCGACGCGTCCGGGGATCCAGCAACTGCATCTTTCGCCAAATCCACTACCCCCTGTGCAGGAAGCGGAGCAGCTTTTGGAAAACTACTTTACTCGCTTCCATATACACCACACATTCCTTTTGCGCCAAGAGGTTCTCGGCATTTTCAATCGCGTCTACAATGCATCAGCAACTTCTTCGGACCAAGACTGCTTCAGATTGCTCATGGTGTTTGCTATCAGTGCCACTACACGGTATCGTGCAGGGATCACCAACGAGCATCCGTATGGCTACTTCATGGCAGCCGAGGACTATCTTGGACGGATACCACTCATACGCGATATCGATGCAATTCAGAATCTTCTGCTGGTAGCCAGATTCGGAATGTATCACCACATCGGTGCTTCATTGTGGGAGATATCCCAGTTGTGTATGAGGCAATGCATCGAGTGGAAGCTGCATTTGAAGCCGGCACATCCCTTGGACCCTCTTGTGGAGCAGCATCGACGCCGCGTCTTCTGGGAGTGCTATGTCCTGGATCGATATAGTTCCGGAATCCTGGGACGACCATTTGCAATTTCTGAGCCAGATATTGAGGTGGAGCTTCCTTTCGATGCAGACGACGATTACTTGGTCAATTCAAGCATAGCGAGCCTTGATATGATGCCTAAGCGTGGCCTGGGGCCTTCCGAAGTATCCGTGTTCATCATTTGCATTCAGCTAAGGCGAATCAGCTCTCGGATACATTCGACATTCTACAGTAGTCGAAGCGCAGTGGCCTCAAACGCTACCAGTTCTGAAAGATTAACTGAGTTCAAGTCCATCGGTCACGTCTACACAGCCTTCACACGGTTGCGATCAGAACTGAACGAATGGCGGGCAACCGCACCAATCTTCCTCTACCCACGGTCCCTGTATGAGCGACCTGAATGGCATGATTTTTTGCATGAGAAGGATATGCTGCTCCTGGCTCGGGGCGCGATGCACAACGTACCGTCCAAGCCATATGCTGGTGCTGCTGTAAAGGAAATACTGACAGCCTGTTATGTTTCCGCGAGTAGAATCATTGAGCTGTATTCTACGTTGATGGAGAAACGCGCAATCACTTGGACACGCAGTTATTTCCAAGTGATCTTCACGGCTGGGCTGACTGTCACGTTCTGTATCAGTCTTGAGCTACTGAAAAGTAGTATAGAAGCAGACTTTGAGCAGCGCCATCCAGCCAGGACACTGGCTCTATGTAGTGTTATTCTGTCTTACTTCAAGGACAAGATGCCAGATGCAGCATCTGCTGCCGTGGTCTTCGACGTTCTGAAAGATGAATGCCTTAAAGACAATTTGTCTAGAGTTGAGACTTCTAGTTCCAACCAGGATCCAATGCGCAACTCTGGAACACGCTCTGTCCAGAACAATTCCAGCATCGTGGCCGGAGACCTTGAACAGACTTGTGGCACGATAGCTGGTGCCATGTCGCAGGACAACATCAACTTGAGTCCCAGCAATGGTCAGTTTGACCCACACTATGGACTTGGTTCCCAACAGTTCGATTTCAGTCTGACCAATAACCTCATGACACAACTGGAGGCTGGACTTGGAGAGTACGCATGGGGTTCACTACCACTAGACGGCAATTTTTGGGATCAAATGTCATTCAACTATTGACTCTTTATGTACTCGTCCAATCGATCAATCGCTGCCATAGCCGTCTCCATCTGTGTTTGAGCAGTAGCGGCACCAATATGTGGTGTACTTACTACGCGGCCGGTACCCCAAAGCCCACCATATCGCTCCTGTGTGGGCGGCTCTTGCTCATGGCAATCAAGACCCGCGCCAAAGATGAGCTCTTCTTTCAGCGCTCGCTCTAAGGCGGCCTCATTAATAATGCCGCCACGTGCGGTATTGATAAGAATCGCGTTCCGCTTCATCCGGGAAATTTGTGGATAATCGATAAGATTACGTGTCTGGGGGAGGAGAGGGATGTGAAGTGTAACGACATCAGAAGTCTCCAGAACTTGCTCTAATGATTTGGCGCGTGTGTGAGGTATGCCGGCCCACGCGTCTTCTGGCAGCAGGGGGTCATATGCGACGATGCTGCAGCCCAGGCCTCCCTGGAATATCCTAGCGACCTTCTGACCTATGTTTCCCATGCCGACTATTCCAATGGCCTTTTGGCTTATTATAAGACCAGAACACTTTTCCTTTGGAATGGCTTGTCCAGAGCTTTGCAGTGCGGTGATGCGGCCTACTTGACGTGCCACAGCCATGGTCAGAGTGAGCACTGTTTCCGCAACAGCCTGTGCATTGACACCGGGAGTATTGAAGATTTTGATGTCGCGTTCGCGGCATGCTGCGGCGTCGATCTTATCAATGCCTATTCCTTATTTAGAATCAACCCGTCTTGGGAACGATAGAAGTTTCATACCAACACCTTGCTTGCCAAGAGCCTTGAGCCTGGGGGCCGACTTCACATCATCCGCTGTCAGGTATGAGCTGCGAATGAGCAGATACTCCGCCTTTTCCCGCCACTCAGCATGTCGACTGTCATCGGGAAGAACGGCGTCAAACAAGGATTGCGCATGTTTCACGGCTGTAGGATGGAAGGTATCAAGGAGGTACACAGTCGGCTTAGCTTCTTTGCCAGCAGATGGAGACTCCGCAGGCGAGTCGATGCGACCTGGTGCCATTGTTTATTCGTGCAGGAAGTGTAAATGCTAGTACAGCTTGGTCGCAAAGATGTCAGCAACGAGGCTTGTGTCTCTTTACTCTTGCGGAAGACATGGCTTGATTTTATGTCCATGTTTGAGTCACATCTACATGGTGACTGGTTCAACCGGTAGACGAGACATGTCCGACGCGTGGAACACGCAGTGATAGCCGGTGCCACTGGTGCAGTACGCTCAATGTTCAGGGCATTGGGGCATCATGGGGCCCCACAGCATCGCCCACTGCCCAAGGATGCCCCTCGGTCGTGTCCGATGGCAACCACTTCTTGCAGCCGGAGCTTTCGGATGGTTCCAACGGCGCCGAAGGCCCACATACCCGGGAAACGCGATTGGTCGAGTGCGACAATAGTCTATCTGCATTCTGCATGATCGA